ATGAGTTCGATTCCGAAGGAGTGGCAATCTTTGTCTTGAGGATAAATTCGATTGAGCGTGGAATTTGCTCAATATAAGGTTTGATGCAAACAGCCAAAGAGAGAGTTAGCAGTCAAAAACTTATGAACGACAAAGACATCCCGTAATTCTGGTGTGTTCATACCAGATTGAGCGAGAGAATCGCCATGTCGACTGGTGCAGGGCAGCCTAGGGCTGTAATTCGCCTTGAACCATTGAACTCCTTGAGCTTATGCAATGTGATAACCCTCAGAAAGTGTAACCCCCGTTGTTGTTGATGTTGATGTTTGCAGCATCTGGTAACGCTGCCAATATCTCCAAAATGCGATGGAACCACCAGATCATGAACGAGCAGGTGCTAACTACCTGTGATCTGAGAAAGTCACCAGATGCACTCAGGGACTATTGCCTGAATGAGTTTGATGAGGAGAATTGAAACATATTCAACACTTTCTCACGTCAAAGCCATGCACTGACCGCAGTCGCGTTTGAGGATAGTACAAAGCATTGAAACACCTCGTTGAGGCTGATCTGCTTGTGAAGTGGAATTTCGCTTTTGCTCCAGCAGTGCAGATCGGCCGATGTAAAGCTGAGATATCAATTTTAAAGGTCAGACCTACTAAATGGGTTATTCTGCGGCTAAGGCTCTGCTGAACATTGATGGCGATGAGAAAATACCAATAATCGGTCATTAAATCTATCTGTTCATAAGTTTTGAGTTGTTTCTGAAAGCCTTAGGCTCAACTTTTCATACAAATGTCATATTAAAACCGGCGTCCAGTCCAGAACTGAGCCATTCTGGGAAAAATGGTCGATGGTCAAGAGGTTTGACGCAGAGGTGACCGCATTACCATAAATGATTGAGTTCGTCGTCGTTCAGTCGATCAATTTCCTCCGCTACCTTGTTTTGCTGTTGAAAGCGGTTTTCAGTTCACAAAGAGAAAATGTCAGAATGTTTCGAATTGAAGGGCATGTTGCTGTTTCAATTCATAATGAAAATTCTTGCAAGTCATTTATTTAATTACCTTACCGAGCTTGATGAATTAGCTTAATTCATGAGCTGACACGTAGAACCATCGACTACGCGTTAAGAAATCAGTGTTTCTCTCTGTCCAAAAAATGCTGAACACCGAAACAGCGTACGCGAAAATCCAACTCACTCCTTTCATTAACGCGGAAATGGAAAACTGACGAAACTGTTAACTTTCGCCGGAAGGATCGATCGTCTTCGTCGATTTGTACATTTCACAGTGAAACATACCTTAGAGGAAGGTTAAACAAGTGTTTCTTGCCCAACTGACCAAAGATTAACCTGGTGCAAACATATGGAAGGAGTCTGCTGCAGACTCCATTTGTCCTTTGCCGAGGCTCAGACTCTGGCTGAGGATCGGGAACGTTGGAAGCTCTGTCTGACGTGTCTGCCTCCGCGACCCGGAAGGAGAAGAGGCGATGGAAGATGAATGAATGAGGCATACCTGAGCTGTGTTGATTTCTCCTCTTGAGTGCCTCGTAGCCACCTGTTCAGCGCAGATATTGCTTCTCGTAATCAATCGAATGC